TTTTTTTTTTTTTTTTTTTTTTTTTGGTAAACGGTACCAGAATCCTGCGACTTGGCACGATCATTCGGCGATTCATTCGCGACGGGCTAGGTATACCGGGGGTGTCAATTGAACCGGATGAAACAATTTACTATCTTTTAAAGCTGGCAAGCGATTCAATTTATTTTCTACGGCCCCTACGTGTAACGCGGCCAAGCCGTTACCATCGTTCGAATCGCAATTTTTTTTTCCCCTGTCATAAATTAAAAATACCATTTTTCTTCACAAATATCGGAATATATATTCTGAATATATGTTCGTGCGGCATTGTTTGGAACAATGTGCCATAAATTGTACGCGAACAATTAAATTTTAATCAAGTTTCGCTGTTTTGTGTAAAATGTAAAAAAAAAAAAAAAAAATACGACGTATAACAATACTCTTGTTCTGTATTTTCCCATCAAGACAACGAAAAGTGCACGACGAGTGAAAGAACCGCCCGATAACAAAAGCCAGAGTGATGGTGCAGTGTTTTCGCGACTATCGCCTCTCAGCGTGGATGTATCAATTTTACGATGAATTTTTTTCTTTTCTTTCCATTGTCGAGGAATCTCGTTGCGCGTTCCTTGCCTCTTCGGCCGGCACGATGCTCGTTTAACTTTGCACCCGATTAATCAAACCGCCTAGACTATTACATGAAACCAAGTACCCCTGCGACACTACCACACTTCTTGCTAGAATATTCTTCGCCAATAATTGAAATTCCGTGTTTATCATAAACTGTTGTCGTGAATTGTTGCACGTTTATTTCCAAGATTGGTCGTTCTCTTCTTCCAAAGCATTTTATTATAATAATACCTTCGAATTATCGTGTCAGTGAATTCCGAAAAGTCACTGCGTTTTATTACGACTCTAGCTTCTCTGCTTGCTTCCTGTTCTCACTAAAAGATAGACCATTCTCAAGACGGAAATCAGCCGGTAAAGAGCCGGTTTTATCTGATCTAAGGTAATGGCTTAATGCGTACCTGCTCGTCCTTCCGCACGTCCTTCCGTCATATTCAACGTCTTCGTCACGCTCGAAAGCATTCGCCAACTGTTGCACCTCGCCCCCAAATGCTTCCAATGTTGATGACTGGGTCTAATGACCGACTACCGCGTTCTCCCTCCAATTTGACACACGCAAGACGGTTTTTATCAGTATCTCCTCTCAAGGTCTACATGGAACGCGATGATTTCAACGAAAATTAACTTATTTACCTTACATTAAGCGATATATTGAACCGAATTACGTAAAAGTATAATCGTATATACTCAAATGCCGCTTGATCATCGGCATTTTGCTTTCATAAAGATTCATGAATCAACGATGGTAATTCGTTCATAGAAATTGAAATATTCATCGAAATTTAACTCAAACATTTGAAAGTGGTGTATAACTGGAAGAGCCTTTGACACGTTCAAAGCGTCCCAGGGTGCTTCGAGTTGAAGGCAAAGGGTATCAAGTTTTTTTCGTGCGGTCACGAACAAGGCACGATCGCACGGTGTTGAATGTATACCGGACGGTGTCCACTCGGATGGAACATCTACCTTTGAAGTCTGAGGTTTGTCTTTGGCAAACACCTTAACTGTGTGTCCCTCTCGCTCCATCTTCCTCTCTCTCTCTTCCCTTTCAACGACCGTTTGGAAAAGCAATGCAGTCGACGTTCCAATGTTTGACCGGCCGCAAACATGGCATACGTCTACGAACCGCGTCAATTATTCTCGCGTTACGCCATGAATTAAAAAGATACGCATCACCTCGTGTGGTTCACTTTGCACTCGTTAACACGGAGAACAGGAAGCATTTTTCATCGCTATGTTTACAGTGAAAAATCATTTCCACGTCTTATTCTTCGCCACGATAGTTGTATAACAGTTTCTCAGATTCTTAGACGCTTGATACGATGAATCAAAGTTGGTCGAAATTCTGAAAAGGATGAAAATGAAATGAAAAACAATTTGACTTGCTTCAAAGTTCGGGCGCAACGATCATTTTATCGGGCCTAGGCATTTGGACACGCGGTCACCATTTAATTTCCTTAATTACCTTCAAGATTATAAGATGAATTAAAAACAGTCGCCATCAGCTGCCATTCGTTACGATCTTCGGACTGGTGTACTGGTCTAGATATACGCGTGCATGGAACGTACATGCGTTTTAATTGATATGACGTCATGTGAAGGCGCCGAAACTCTACTTCCCAGGATTTGTTTGCGACTCAAGGCTGAACAATTTAACAGGATCATCCCTCGAGACGAAACGAGCCGACAATATTTTCTAACGTATCTTACATTTCTTTTAACATATCTTCAAGGATTTTTTCGCCAATTTACACAATCTTTGTGCATTGATCGTGAGAGAAAATCAACCGTATCCCTTTCAAAAATTCCCTGAAATTCGTGAAATCCTAATATGATGTGGGACCCCTATATTTATATATACGTCGCATTCAAGCTTAAGATACGCTTGCCGACGACCTTTCCCTCAATCCTGACTATAGATTTTTCCTTCTAGTTTCGATCGAGAATATCGAGAGATTTTACATATGTTTATCATATAAATATTTTCTATTATCAATCCAAGCTATTTTGGATATTTCAAGTCAACGATAACACAATCATTCCTTCAAATAACAGACCATCATTCTCGAACGAATTATCGGGTTTTTCTTTTTCGATTCGTTCAATCATAGGAATCATCCATCATCCAATCTTCCGTCTATAAAATTTTTCACTTCACAGTAAGCTTATAAGTAGCTACGATAAATCTCAGTTAATCGAGCCACGAGGCTTCGTTGTAGATAATTTTTAATTTTTACCAAGCAGAATCGTTGCACTACGAGCTATCGAGCTTCGCTTAGCATAAAATTATATTTATAATTTTCTACGTGTTAATTTTATATTGCTGATGTTTGATTTCATTCAGACGAAGAGGAAGAAATAACGAAATAATAACGATTCGCGTACATAACAAGGATCGATAGGACGATTTCGAATTTCACACGATTATCAATGGATTTCGAGGTGAACCCCTAGCAAGTCACCAGGCACGCGTTGTAGGTGAGAGGATGTGGCCGGCAGGAAGTTCATTGTGTACGGCTACACATATAATATTGCACGATCCTGCGGATTCTACGTAGTTTCACGAGAGATAGGAATTCGCCAGATTGTCGCTACCCGATTCGAATCCTTATAGGTATGAATGCGTCGAATTACGCCATGGCTGCCTCGCTATGAAATCGCATGTAGGTTAACGCGTAGGCGTAACAAGATCCATTACAAGCGCCGTTTAAGTAATTATTTTCCAATTAAGGAAGAAAATTTGAAAAAAAAAAAAAAAAAAGAACGAAATTGAGAAATTCCACACCACTATTGAGAGAACGATTAGGCGTGTGAAACAGTAATTGTGATAATTTATTTGGCATATTTTTGAGTCGCGCGTTATTAAGAGTAAGTGTGTATCAACAGTTATAGAAGTTTCTAGCAAATGTAAAAATGGTAACACCATGATCTCGAAAGAATTGATGTCACATCGAAGCTTATAGAAAACTAATCATCGTGGTTATGCAATAAGGTCATCCTAGCCATCATAAGTCGAGATAACGCGATTTCATTTCTTTATTCGTGTTTAGTAAATATTACGGGCGCCAATGGTACGCGACGCATCGTAAACATAAATGTAAATCTAAATGAATTTTATAAATCGCTTTGCATTTTTTCACCCCACGGCAATCCCGATCTCTATCTCTTATCTTGAACTTGGATGGTTACCCACGTTGCCCTTCGAACCTCGGCGCCGAGAAGATGTGAAAAAACGGGCGAAGATCGGGAAGAGAACGAAGGGAAGATAAGGGATCGAGAAGTTGATTTTTGAACCATGATTTCTTTTATCTGGCCCCGGATAATTGAAATGCAATGTTTCGAGAAATCTTTCCAAACTTAAAAAAGATATCATGTACGACAATGTGTACGAATTGAAACAATATCTTTTTTTTTTTGAGAGATGAAAATCTAAAGGAATTCCATTAAGCTTAAAAGAAACGTTCCCTCGAATGGTTCCTATGGTTCGTGTGAACAAACTCGACATAAGAATCTCGTAATCAGTGTCTAGCAATTGGCGTGAACGAAATTGCCAGCAATTATCAATTAAACTCTCCACGAAAGGATCGGTTTAATCATTTCTCCAGACCGCCTTTTGTTACGTTTATCTCTCCTGATGCATCCTTTCAATCGCCTTATTCGCTCTTTGTGCGAGCCTTAAGAAAGAAAGAGAAAAAAAAAAAGATAGAAAAAATACGATTCCAAATGATTTCTTTCGAAAGATATCATACGATCGTCTCAAAGAAAAATGAATATGTTTTAATATGTAACGTTTAATATTTCGAGAGACGACGTGAATATTGATCGATATTTGGACGGAAATTAAATGAAAATAAAATAAAAAAGAACAGAAAAATAGAAACGGCTAATAAAATAGTTACAACTCGTCTTTCATCCTCGAGATCGTGCTTATGGACTGCGATGATGCGCCGTCGTGTAGTTAAGTTAATTAATGAATGGTACAGTCGGGATGGAGAGTGGACTTAAATTGATACGTCCTTCGTGTGGAGCCATTTTTGTGTTACGCTCGCCTCGCTTCGAGAACGCTTCTCGTAATTCCAATGAATCGACCGGTTTTCATATCGTTCTTCGTATTTTTTTTTTGCATTTTTATTTTTTTTTTCCGTGAAATAATATTATTCTCTCGAAGTAACCGACCAAGTGTGTATCGCGAAATTCCGACAACAGAGAGAAAAAACGATGATACGAATGACAAATGAATAAGGAACAATAGAGAAAGTTTAAATTGAAATATAACAGACGAAAATAATCGACATCTTGTGCGAAAAGGCTATCAGAGGACTGACGCGATGATTACGGATCGATTTTTGTTCTCGTTTCGTTTCACGGGCCAATATTATTAACTTGACGGCTATACTGACCTCTTCATCATCGAATCGAGACCGATAAAGAAATTTCCCCGCGATTGCGATTATTTATTGCTGTAAACAATCGTATTCACTCCAAATGCGCACTATGAAAATATAGAATGGAAAAAGAATGGAAATTTCACGGTTAATTTAACGATTGTGTCTTTTAAAATCTCAGCATGGTCTACATCCTTCGATCGGTCACGCGACAATCTTCGTGACTTTTATCTAATGGCAGTTTCATAATAAGACCATATATAATAATATTACGAATAATCACCGAGAATGCTGATAAACACTACGAAAATGCCTACGATAAAAAGCGAGAGAAAAGATAGCAACATCTTTTCGTATATTCATTTACTCGTATATATATATATATATATGTATATAATAAATTAGGTTTTATCTATTATGGTAGATCTGGACACGTGCAAGATTCCATAACCTGTCACCTTATTACTAAAGTTGGAATTCATTATCGAGCTATATATTTTCTTTTTTCTTTTGCTTTCGAAACATTCTTTCTAAATGAACAAACACAATATGTTGGAAGCGCAACAAGTTACAGCGCGACAAATAAATGGTGGAAAAGAGGAAAGAAAATAGAAAAGAAAATATAATTATTTTATATTCATTGAGAATTATATAGTACTGTTTCTGTAGTCGTGAATAATTTTATATTATATTATAAATTATAAAATTCTGATTCTGACCTGATTCAAATCGAGATCCGGGCATTTCGAGGCGCATTCTTCTTGGAGATTGGCAGGAGCAGTCCGATCTTCGAAATCTTCTGGCAGAAGCGTCGAAACGCTTCCCGCCAACGCCAACACCAGAAATACACATAACCCTGTTGCTAACATAATATCCACAACCCCTCGTAAAACAAACCCTCGATCACCCTCCACGAAATTTTTATAACAATTTCTTTAACTATCGATCGTCATTGTTCTCTCGATCCTGATGACCTCCACGACCTTACAAGAAGGTTCGAAACGAATATCAAACTTCTTTCCTCCGCATTCTTCCACATCGATCCTCGAGTTTGAGGAATTCGAGCACTTGAGCAATCGATGTTTTCTAAATGAAATTGCAATCACCGATAAAATCGCGCACTTTCCATGTCAATAGACAGAAAAGATAGATTGATTTCTTCTATCGAATACCTCATTCAAATTCACTCTTACTTTAATTGTACCTTCACTACAATCAAATATGTAAATTCACGTTCAATTTTTATGTATAGAATTGTCACTAAAAAAATTCACCAGTGCAAATGTCAACAACAATAATCGGGATAATTTCCATCACTTTTTTCTTGCAATTATAAAATATCAGCCATGAAAAAAATAGGGATTCTCGATCAAGTCTCTCCTATATAAACGAATAAACGAAAAATAAATTTCACGATAAACAATTAGGATTGTTAAAATTGTTTCGAATCACCTGTGACGTTTCGAGTCACGAGGCCCTCACTGTAAGAGCCCAGCGTGGTGTTGTTAATGTCTGGCAAGCATAAGAGCAACTGACTCCGAATGGCCACTAGAGAGTCAACTATCCCCCACCATGGCAACCCTTATCTGTTGCACTCTGCTTGACCAATTCCGTACAGTGGTGGTAGGTATACTACCAGGCTAGCGTGTGCACATGAAGCCATTATGGCATATGCCTGTGGAGTGTCTGAAGATGAACAAAAAGAATAAACGATCTGAACTTTCGTTTGTGCAGGTCCGACTGACCAATGGTCAATTGGTAGATTGACCTGTTCTTACTATCCTCGTAAACTTTCATTCATATATTCGCACGTGCCGCTTTTAGTCGGGTACCCACGTTGTCCGATGTCAAGAAAGCCTGGAAAAAATGAGTTGCGAAGAAAAATGGTATGATTTTTTCTTGTTATCTTTTAAAATAGTGTACACATTAGAATATTTATAATTTTTTAAAGCTAAAAATGATGTGTTCAAATAAGTTTTTTTAGTTTTAGAAATTTATAATTTAATTATAATGTTGCAAGATTTTACATAATTTTGTTTAATATTTTAATATATATAATATATTTTATATAGTATATTTTATATATATGGTATATTTAATTAGTTAAGGAAAGAATATTTAGTTAAACGTTGGATTAAATTTAAATTTAAATTACACATTGGTTGAAGATCATTTCATTAACTCAACCATCTTCTTCTGTTGTATTAGATTGAAAATAGTCGGATGGTACAAAGTAAATTTGAGGCTGAGTTTCGAGTAAATATTACTTATATTGACGTTTCGAAAAAGAATGCATCCTTTCTAAAAATTTTTGTACACATACCATTCGTTTTGACACCCTTAGAAACCAATGCTTTTTGTTGACAATACACCCAATGGGTATATTATTCCTTACTTAAAACTTTCACTTTTTTATACAAGAAAAAGTAAATTTTCCATAATTATTTATGATTATTATTATTATATAATAATAAAAATAAATTTTCTTTGATAGATAAACACATAGTTGTTTGTTTAATATTGTTTCTCAGTCTTTGTCCGCTGTAGCCGAGTCAAAACGATGACTCATTTCGACAGATTAAATCTGCGGACGACAAGAGTCAGTCTGTATTATGTTGTGTTACTATTGTCAGTCACGGACCAATGCATTGAGTCTTTCTTTTCGATGACCCGAAAGCGATCTATTCTTCGATGTGTACGCATATCTATTCGATCATGGAGGAATTCGATTTACCTACGTTTGCGTTAATGCCGTGCCTCGTAAATATTTTCGTGACATCACATGAATAGAAATATTTTTAGTTCATAAATATAAAATTTTACATTCTACGCGATAACTTAAAATATAAACTCAAAACAAACTCTTCATTATCAACCCTTTTCTCAATTTCTTGTATTACCAGTTCCAGAAGTTGTTGAAATTCTTTCCTTAAGTACGTCATACACTTAATACAAACAATTATCAATATAATTAGCATAAATTATGTAATTACCATACTTAAGAAAAGTCTTTTCTCTTCTTTTTTTTCTTCATTTCGTCAGATTTATCATTTATAAATCATTCCCAGAACATCTTTTGTTTGCAATTTCTTGAACAATTGAAATACTAAAATAAAATAAATATATTGAAGGCATTGATATCTTTTAATATTCTTAATAATTAATTTTAGTTATATTATAATTATAAAAAAAAAATCTCGGATAAAGAGAAAGATTTTACTTCGACAATGAACAGCGAAAACCAATCAATTAACGCAACGAGATTATGGACAAACGAATTCAGAACAGCTTGTTATGAAACGGCAACGATCTGTGGCACGTTAGTTCCAACCTCAATGGCGGTTACAGGTTACCTAGGGCTTCCTGCGGAAATGGCCAATATACTCCTCCGACCTCCAACTCACTCAGTCACTCGCTCACTCGGATCACTCCTGTTTGGTGTACCCCGTACCTATATGATCGCCCTGTCGCTCGACACGTACTTGTTACGGGTCATCATCGTGATCTATGCGCCTACAACAAATGTTACATCCTTAATCTGTCCTAGCCTGCTAATTCTACGCTCGTGCTGAACGAGAAAGTTGACATTATTCTGCAACTGTAGACAGATCAAGTTATTTCGCATAGCAATTATAACGTGTTTAATTCGATGAGAAGCAAATATTGTTTCGCTATTTTGGAGGTTATAATTAAAATGACAGATATCAATCGATAGATCACTAGTTTATTCTGTACAAGATTTAAAAAGATGAAATTACAAGATAATCTCGCGTAATAATTTATTATATATGTTTTTTCAAGAACTGATGTAATTCAAGAAACAGAGAAGCAAGTTGTAATTTTCCAAGCTATTTTTCTTCGTATTTTGTAATGAAAGAAAATATATATTATATTAAAATCCATAAAAATATTATACATAAAAATCTTTTAATAGAATGATTATTTTAGAAAAATGATTATTTTGATACATAAGAAAAGATTTATTAACAAAGTGATTATAAAAAAGATGTTTCTCAAGATGCGACCCAATTCACATGTGTTCGTGATCCATCGTTTGTTTTGCATACAACGTAATTGTAATACAAAAGAAAGAAGTTTTTGTAAGATATCTCAACGACTAGTCTAAGACTTACACTCTGCTTTACACGATACAGCAATAATTCGGGTCTATTAGACCAATAAAGTATATCAAAGAGGAGGAATGCCCCGCGTCAATCGTACATAGTGTCAGTTTGTCTGTCCGTACTTTGATATACGGGGTGCGGGTGGACAGATAATTTAGATTGAATACAACTGTATATTAAGAGTAAAACTGAAGAGAATGATTAAGAAAAAAATAAAAATTTTTCATAGTAAGAAATAAGTTTTTTATATAAAATTTTAAAAAAAAAAGCATTTAAGAATTTTCTTTAAAAAAATTTATATTTGGTTATAAGATAGAAATAAAAAATTTAATTTACATATATATATATACATTAATTAATAAATTAATAAATTTCTTTCATGATTATGATATTTTCATTAATATATTTTCTATATTTTCATATTTTGATATTGAATATTTTTTTTTTAAAATAAGATGAGATGAAAGAAATTAATTAAACGAATTAATATATAATTTTCCCATCATTTATATTCGCAATATTATAATCATATATATTATATGAATATCTATGCAATTACTTCAAATCACTTGCATATTAAAGAAAAAAATCTTTATGATTTTTATGATAAAATAATAATTCTTAATTAATAAAATGTAGAAATGTCTATTGAATAGGAACAAAGAAAGTTCAATTTAACCAATCCCATGAAGCTTTAAATGCTTCTCAAAGATAATTATTATCTTTATCAGAAATTAATTGCGATTCAATAATTTCTCTAATACGCGAGTGAAAGCAATACCTATCATTTATTAATTTGTTTATTATTTTTTTAATTAGAAGTTATATTTATTGTGAAATATTATTTAATACTTAAAAATTCTAATATATAACAAATTTTTGAGTTAATAAGTTGTTATTAATTTATAATATAATAATTATAATATTCTTTTTAGGTACTTACTTATTATATTTTTATCTTAAGAATTTTGTTATTTTTTAAAAATTTTGTTGATTTTTATCAGTGCTTTTTGCTATTCATCTTTCCTAGTGAACAATTTTTTATTCTCATTTTATATATAAAATGTAAATATATTAGGTTCGTAACTATTAAAACATAAAATAAATATTATGTAGATAATATTCTTAATAATATTTATAACTTTAATAATATTTCAATTTATCACCAGAGACCGCCACCTCTCGGATTGAAATTCAAATGTGACAAATATTTATATATATATTTTACAATTTTTAATTTCTATTTTTAAATAATATTCTGAATGTAGCATATGAAATATTATTTTTATATTATTATTATACTATATATATATTTATATGTTAAATTTATATGAAGTAAAAATTTTTAACTGCTAAAATAGTAGTCATGTAAACAGGTCTCATATTATGAGGTTTTATATGGTAATTCAAGATGGAAGACGGTGAAAATAAAGCGGACGTTGGGCTGGATAAAGAGAAAAAGTCGTACGCTGGAATACCGGAAGCCGAATTTGTAGTAAGTATATTATTCTAGTAAAAAATTTACATAATATATTATTATAATATTGCTACCAATACATAAATTTAATATATTACATTATATTATGATATATATTTTTACAAAGGAATAATCCTCGTGACTATCGATAATTCTGTAAAATTTTATCAAATAAATCTTGTAAAATTTATGTAACAAAAAAAGATAAAATTTTTTTTCTTTTATTTTAATATTTTTTATACTAAATTTTTGCTTATTAGTATAATATATAAAAATACACAATACTTTTTCGTTATGCTAACCGTATATGGTCAGAACAGATTTAAACATAATATAAATATAATAAATATTATTATTTTTGTAATATATATTATTTATTTTTATTTTAATACTATTTTAAAATTTTTATTACATTTTTATTACATTTTACAAATTTTTTAATATAGGATGATGTCGACGCTTTCATGGCGAGACCTGAAAATGAATCGGCAGATAAAGTGTTACAAAAGTTGGATGAAAACCATGGCAAATATAAATTTATGGAATATAATTTATTTAATAAAAGAAGACGTTTGAAAGCTCAGATTCCAGATTTAGAAAGATCATTAGACATGATCAAAAAATTACAACAAGAGAAAGATAAAAGCAAAGAACTAGAAACACAATTTCTTTTATCAGAACAAGTTTATGCAAAAGCTATTATTCCTCCTACTGATAAAGTGTGTTTGTGGCTAGGAGCTAATGTTATGCTAGAATATACATTGGATGATGCACAAGAAATGTTAACAAAAAATATTGAAGCAGCAAAGAGAAATCTAGGTTATGTAGAACATGATTTAGATTTTGTGAGAGATCAATTTACTACAACAGAAGTTAACATGGCACGTATTTATAATTGGGAAGTAAAACGCAGACAAGCTGCTAAACCAACATGAAGGCTGTTTTTTTAATAAATTTAATATGCACGCAATGAATGCCTAAAACTCAAAAGGTAATTATGAAAAAAAAGTAAATGCAAAAGGAATTCACATATATCATTATTTATTATATAATTTTAATAATTTTATGTATAATATATAATATAATATAATAATATTTTAATATTCTTATTCTTTTTTTAAAGGTTACTTACATTACACTGTCAAATGGAAAGAGCCTGTGAATAAAAAGTACTGTTGGAAATTATCAATGAAATAAAGAACTCGAATACCATTTAGGTTATAAGCTAGATACACCAATATTTATGTATATTGTCACAAATACATCTGAATTCTAACTTCATATGTTGTTTTGTGTATTTATAATAAGATATTACCACATTTATTATATTAAACTTAATTGACTTATTTTGATATTTTTGCAAAAAAAAAATATACAACTTATATAAAAAACAAAATAATACATTATATTTATTAATATCAGAAATATCACAAACCAAAAAATTTAATTTGATTTTTACTTTCTAATTTATCATCCTGTTTGTATACTTTAATTACAAACTAGATCTTATGTTATAAACACATATAATTTTGTTAAAAAACAAATATAAAAAGTATCATCTATACTTTTGTGAACATGATAAGAAATAGGCTTATAACTAATGGAATTTGCATGAAACTTAATTTATCTTATGTTTTAAACTGTATCAGAAAGTGATTTGCTATATCTATTTTTAAGGCACATAGTCGATCTGACTTTCTGTAAAAATCAGTGTCCAGCAGGGACTAGTATCCTATTATAACTAAATCTTCGTGAATTAATCTGTTCCTTCATCTGCTTCATATTTCACCAATTTTGTCTTTAACTCATTGATTTTGGCTTTAGCTTCTTCTAATTCTTTTTTTAATGTTTGTACTTCCACATCAACTTCTGTGATGCCTCCTAGATTTAGACGAATATATCTATGATATTATTTAGGAAATTATTTTCTAATAAAAATTCGAACTAACATTGATATTTTTGTATTATAATATCAATTATAAATTTTAAAAGGATACTCTAAAGCATCATCTGGTTTTTCTGGTTCTTCATATAAAGACACAAGTACTTTCGTAAGAGCATCCATCACTCCTGCTCTTTCCAGATATTTTCTAAATTCTTCTCTTTTAGAATCAGGTGGCTATAATAAATATTGCAAAAATTAAAAATAATAAAAATTAATAGATTTATAAAATTTACTAAATTATACGCATAATAATAAAACACTTTGAATCAATAACACTGCAAAAGATATTGCATCGCCATCGTTATTGAAGAAATTATATTAAATAAAAACGTATAGATTTAGCATTACCTTGAAATTCGACATTTTTATTACCACAAATTATTACAACAATACTTGGAAAATACTATTTTAGCAAATAGTTCAAAGAATTTCCGACAACACGTGTTTGATAAATCACACAATACGGAACAGATACAAGCCTTTATGATGCTCATTCAGAACAAATGCTATATGATATACGCGATTTTCAAAACAATGAATGTACGAAACAATTTTTAATTAAAAAAAATCATCATTTACCATTTTGAGAAGTGAATTCAATATATAGTAACAGTAGAAATTACTTTCTCTTTCTTTTTCACTTCGTTTCACAAATACAATTTACGAAACTTGTGTGCTTTCAATAATAAACTTCGAATGTCACAATTTATTTCGATCGGAAACACTATAATCAAAAAAGTATTCAGTTTGGACCTATATCTGATGCCATTCTATAATTTCGTGTCATAAAATTTAAATTGTTACAAAGTTAGTAGTTAAAATATCCTCTCTCATATAATAAAGAATTATAAACAAAATTAATATAAGCACTTATATTAATTAATGTAAAATTTTATTTTATTTAAAAAATATATTAAATTTATTGATATAAATTTAGCTAAAATAAAATATAATGAGAGATATCATACACACACTATATAAAAGCATTGATTATTCAATATGGCGAGGTAATGTTTGTAATATAATTTTTCTCTAACTTTTTATAAATTAAAGAAAAAAAGCTTTGAATTTTTTTTAAAAACTTTGTTATGATGTTTTTGGGAAAAAAAGAAGTTTTTTTAAGAATAGTGCTAACTGGTGCCATAGGTATTTGTTCGTTTATTGGTGATCAAGGATTGAAACATGGAAAGACTGCCATGACACGCGCGATTTTTGACAATGTCACTCACGCAATTGTTGGTGGACTTACTTGGGCAGTTATCTTAAATTTGTCAAAAAAACCTCTTATACAAAACTTTTCTAGCATTTTCTTGTGTTTTTCTTTATCGTCTTTTATCGACATAGATCATTTTATTGCAGCAGGCAGTTGGAAGTTAAGTGTGAGTGATATCATAACCTTTTATCGTTTAAATAATCAGCATATCTTATTTATAGGGAATGATAATGAAATTTTTCGTATAAATATGAAACTTGAAATTTCGTTTTGAGAATTATATATAGATATCGTTATTTAATATTTTATTATATATCATATTTCAAAAAAAATATTAATTATAACTTGATGTAATGATATTTACATAATTTCTTACAGGATGCAACACATTTAGAAAAAAGACCATTTTTTCATTGTACCACTCTACCTATAACATTATGGCTTATGTTAAATTTTTATTCAAGTGTATTTAATTATCCAAAATTCAGTTATTATTCTTGGATAATATTAGCAAGCTTTCTAAGCCATCATATAAGAGATGGTACAAGAAGAGGTTTATGGTTTTGTCCTATTGGTTCTACACAACCTATTCCATATTATTTATACTTAAGTATGAGTATGATACTCCCTCATGTGCTACAATGGTTGATGATACCATCTATGCATGAATATAAGTCTTCAGATAATGAAACATTAATTGATGTTGTGTAAATAGTATAAAGTAAATATGGCTAAATGTATATAATATGTATAAATATACATGTATATATATATATCAATGAAATTTTTATATTAATATATTTTATATTAATATATATGTATATTTTTTATAATTTATATATTTTTAATCATATTTATTACAAATAAATATTACATTTTTTATAAGCTTTTATAAAGTAACAAAGATTATAAATATAATAATAATTTAATTTATTTATTATTTAATTAAGAGGAATAAAAATAAAAAATATTTTAAGAAATATATTTGTTTTTGCATTATAGCAAACAATTACGTAAACAATTTGACCTAATTAAAAGTGCAACTTTTATATTTATCGTTAAATGCATAAAAATAAGCATAAAATATCAAAACAGGAAAAACTTACATACATACATACATACATTAAAAAGGGTTCGTCCATAATGTTTATGCGTATCCATAATGTTTACATACTTGTTTCCAGAGACACATGTGTTCAGTAAACAAGCATTGTTCATGTATGCCGGTCTCTTGTATCGTGTATTTCTATACATAGATCCATATTCGATTGCGATGTAAAAATTTAACGATACCCACGTAAATATATGCGTGCTGGTGTAATATGTAGGGATTTGAGTGAACGCGGAGGACGCAGATGCCCTTGCAAGAAGTCAGCCGCGCGCACACGTGTGTACACGTACACCTTCCACAAGTTGGAGGGGTTTATCAGCATTCAGCATTGCTTTGCTGGCACTGTTATACACTTTACTTCACTCTCGTCCCGCGATCTTATATTAGTGTTCATTTACCTAGTCACCTATTCCACCGAACAACGATGGTGTTTACGACGCCGTTCAATGAAATTTTAAAACAATCAATCTCGTGATCGAAAATTTCAACAAGTGTTATTATCTTATTATCTCTTCCGTGTTTTCACAGTGAAATACCGTTTGATTTTTGTTGCGAGAAATTAATTTTTCGTTCTGGATACATTTTTAGTGAACCATTATCGCTTATTCGAGAAAATGTTATGTGTTATTCGAGAAAACTATTGATGACATTGAGTTACATTATCTCCACTTTGTGATATTCTCTTATACATAAAATTTTATACGAATAATAAAAATTTTTGAACGGGAGCTCTACAATGCCGCCAGGTTTTCGCAGATATCACATCAACTATGATAATGCGTTGATACCGATATCTTGATCGTGTATATACGCCAGTCCAATATTACCTCCAGGGAGATCTCGTGTCATACTTGCTACGTTTATATTATATTTACCATGGTGAGTACACATTGTTCCGATTTTTCTATGGATTGTATTCAAACCGTTTCTGAAATCTATGGAATGCTATGACTCCTGATCATAAATTGTGTTTCAGTTAAAATGTCAAATATTACAAATCATGTGATATAATTTCGCTTTAATTATATGTACATCAAGATTGTCGTTCGTTTTATTATTGTAATGAATAGTTAGTCCATCTATCGACTAATTCCGTCATACATAATTATTTCATGTATTATTGTTATGTTGATAAAACAATAATAATTTTATTTAGAGCGATTTTACATACATAGTTAATTATTTTTTTTATTTGAATTTTACAATTATTGTTACTTATGTACATATGTATTAATGCTTTCACATGAAATGAGGCTAATCACAAAATCATAATAAAGCATGTTTTGTAATAGTAATTACGACCACTCGAACGGATGCCTATTACAGATGCAACAATGTTCAAGGTTGAATTGGCGTAAGAAGAATCACTGGAATTATACGATGAAAGTGATTTGCTGATGATATTAACAATTCTATTACATTCAGCATAAGATAATGACATTCACAGTATTATGCATTTTACCATTCATATGAATTCCGAACGGTTTGCATGGCAAAACAAACTTATGATATTCGTAAATTTCCTGTTTGCATTCAATATATTTATTAGTTTTTATGGCATCAAACGCATTAATCGCAAGTTACGAAATAACGTTTCGAGGAAGTGCAAAGCAACCATGCGTGACAAAGATTCTTTCACATTCTTGCATTCTCACTATTTCCATCTTTGTTACGCCCTCGCTGTATTAGCACATTTCGAATTTTTCTCATCAAAAATAATTCTTTAATCGTTTGATAAATTTTATTTTTTATTTTAAAAATAATTTCAAAGCAATCATATTAATTGATAAATCGTTAACGATATTTAAAAATGTTTTCTTATCAATAAGATTTAAAATTAAATGTTTAATTTTCTAGGAAGCCGATGAGTTGGTATTGTATTTTGCTATAGCAGGTGGGATTACTGCTGGTGCTTTGCTAGTGCTGTTCATTTTAGTGTGCGTACTGTTTGTCAAAGTGAATCGATTATCAACAGACGGGTAAGTACATAACTTCTTTCATTCGATAGCATTTCTTTTTTTTTTCTTTTGTTTGCAACAATTTATTCCTAATTTTCGCTTTTAATTCAATGCTATTAAGCTTTGCTTAAAACGGATAATAAAACGAAATGAATGCACAGCAGGCTTTGCTTGTTGAATGATTTAGTTTCAACGTTATTTTAATTAAAATATTTGACGGGTTTTTTGATTAAACTCGATGGATATCAGTGGCATAGCCGGCGTTTCATTTTGTTGGGACGAGCCACGTTCTCGACGAACTAGGAATCCGAATAAGTCACGTAAGATTTACATTCTAAAGAGCAAATATGATTGTCGACTCGTGGTAATATTGGGACGTGCGAGTGAAAAAAAAAATTAATTCATGACTCATTACGGCATCGATATCGTATCTTTGCTGCGAGCAAAACGATTGTTTAGCTTATCTTAGTAAAAGAATGTGTAATGGATATGGGAATTAAAACAGCTTATACGCGACTAAATTTCTTTTTCTTTTTTAAAATTATTTTTCTACTTCCCTCTATAGATATTTTAATCATTTTTTTTAATTCACTTCATGAATTTTTCGAATTAGAATTTGCTTTTAAATATATTAATTTTTTTTTATTTCTAATAATAATTATTTTAACAAATCGATAAAAATTGTTCAGGTCCAATCAACTGAATAGACAAACAAGTATGATGGCAGACTTTTGTTACACAAATCCCACAATTGTACCAGGAGAATTACTATCACGTCGTGGATTCTCGATGTACAGCGGTTCCGATAACTATAATGATGATTATGGAACAAAAAAAGATCATCATTTTGGTACTTATCACGAAGCACGATCAAAATTTTGACTAAAATTAATAAGTTTGAATAACAGACTGTATGCATAACTTCTGTAATTTTCAATCATATACTATACTAAAAGATTGATTAATTTTGTATAATAAATTAAAATTACGTTATTTATCAGTTTATAAGATATAAGACTTACATAAATTTTTAATTTTCATCTGCCATAAAAATTTGTTTATATATACATAGTTATTTATACATAATATATTAAAAAACGAACAAAAAACAAAGAAATATAAAAATATAATTAATTAATATATTTTATAGAGTAATAATTAATAAAAAATAAATTTTATTTAGATATACTTTATCTATAGATGGTAATGTCTCGCAAAACAAAAAATCAACTATGTAGTACATTCAGTTACCGATAGATTTCGCTATATGCATTAGTCGCTCAGGGAAATAAGTATAAAAAAAAAAAAAAGCTATTGAAAATCAGTAAAATTGAATAGAGTAGTTAATTTGCAGAGCTTAATTAAAATAATTACTAAAAATTGTTTCTATTATTTATTTCTTGAATAATTTATTTTTTATTTTTAATTAACAGTGATTAAATTCCAAAGATATTCTCTATATAAAATAGCGTTTGTTTTGTTTGTAATGTATATTATTTATAATAAATACCATTATGTTTCTTAATTTTATTGATTATTCATTTCATTTATATTGTTTCATTATTACTGTTTCACATATCATTTATATTTATCATTTATATCATTGCCATTATTTTTTTTTTTATCGAAAATAACTAATTTCATTTCATTAAAATATATATATATATAAATTAAATATTTTTCTATTACGATTGCAGAAATTAATATTTTCAATTTAAGATTTTTTAAAATCATGGAAAATACTGTACATGATTTTATCAAAATCGATTTTGTATATAAATCATTACATATTTTATAGTTTAGGATTGAATTTCATCAATAAATTATACATTTATCCACAATTGTATATAATCCTCTTATCATGCATTTCCATTAATGTCCACTTAACTCTCGAACAACGTGTGTGTTCCAATAATTATTCTCTCGCGATCCGATGTCACTTCAGAAATTGAACACCACCCTGGTATTCTGATCCCTCGAGGGTCTTCGATACCTTCCACTCGAATCACAAAAAGAATCGATGAATAAAATTTGTATCGATAACTAGAGAGCGCCAAGGTAGAAAGTTCCTTATACAATTGCGATCCATTGTCATTGTCTTAATTTAAATACCAAAGAAATCAAGAAGAAAAACAAATTAAAATTTTTATTATGTTCAACAGTTACGAATATTACAAAATGATTCCAAGAAATGATTCCAGATACACGTAAGGAAAATTTACGATTTCATATATGTATAAGTGCTTGCACCAGGTACTTTGCAGATTTCTTTTTTAGAGCGGAAGTGGAGCACCTTCCGACCGATATACGCAACAACGTCAAAGTGGGTGGCGATGAGGATGTAGGTAGGGATACAGACGATGCTACGGGGAGTAGGCAATAGCATGGGGATAGGCCGTAATTGGTATAAAATCATCGAGCAAACACATCGGACAAGACAGCCTGAGGGTTGTGGGCGGTGTTACGTGCCGTTGCCTTGGTAACCATGGGGCGACTCTGCTAAAGCACCCCTTCGCCTTGATTGCGCACAGGCCCATCCGTTCATGTGTACGTATGCTATGTTACTCATGAATGTGTGTTAGTGTTGTACGCGTACTGCATGCATTTATATATGTATATATATATATACAAAAGCGCCATCTCGTCTACATGCCAGATTTACAAGACGCGTACTTACACGATTCACTTTTTCACTGTTACGCGATTCCTGTCGACCCTTTATGTATGCGAAACTATCCATAATCATTGGCATACCACCGTACACGAGATCAATTACCGTTCTTTAGAAAATAAATTCTCGAGAACATTTTATCGAGAATTTTTGTCATTACATCGTAGTTGCTGATGAAATTTATATTCTAATCAGACTTTTAAAATATATAGTTTATAGTTATTTATACAGCTATAATACGATAATTTTTATATAGAGTTGATATATAAATCTATTTTTCAATTAATTTATTGAATTAAATTATAGGTGTTCATGAATGAACATTGAAATAAAGATTATAGGAGTGTGCTATTAAGCTCTCCCCCTTAATAATAAGCGAATATCACGCCCTCTCTATTTAGATATACCTCTATATAAGTGCTTTCACCGGCACACGCAACTTGTCGAGTGTTTAGTTTAACCGCACCCCGTGAATCCGCGTTTATGCTCCTAATCAGGCAGGATTACGGTCAGTTTCGTCCTGTCCCTCGTAAACCATGCCACGAGACATATGTTATTCTTTGAGCGTTCAATCGCAACGTGCCATGTTATTCTTTCGTTTTCTAGCGAATAATGCGAAAAGATTAATAATAAGATTCACTGCACGCGTCAGGGAAAACGTAATCTATTTCAAACAAAAAAAAAAAATTCTATT